CCAATTTCACGAACCTCACTTCCCCCGAAAATCAGAGCAAAACGAATCGCAAGCGGCAAGAACAACCCCTCGTCGAGCCCGCGCTCGAGAGAGAGAGCGGGAATCGCAATCAGAAGAAGCCCGTTGAAAAAGTTTCTCGCGAAACGCCCGGTCTCGCCCACATCGTCAGAAAAGAAGCGCGAGGAGAACGGGAGGTGGCCGCGCTGGATTTGCATGCGAGAAGAGTAAATCATAAGCCAAACAACGCCGCCAGCGGAGCAAGCGTATTCCTGGCAAGGGCGAGGCCTTTAAAACTGATTCATTACACCGGGTCCATCCTCTCTGTTCTTCTCTCCCTTCTGCGTCTTTCGTAACGTCTAAAGTATCCCGCGGAAATGTTCCTTAATGGGAAATTATAGCGCGAATGGGGCGAAGGGAAAGCGTCGTCTTCATCACGAAACCCAGACATTCCTTAACTTAGCGATGTTACAGCGATGGTGTGGTGTGGCGTGGTGGTCACGTAGAAGGAAGGAGCACGAAGGTGAGGCCGGAATAATAAGAGGACGACGCTTGTTCCCGCGGCTACGGAGAGAGAGGAGCGCGTTCGTATCGCGTTTTCGAGCGCGATAATTTCCCGGTCGTGGGGCCCAGGCCAGCCCAACGCGTCAATAAGCGCTGCACGTTGTTGTCCGGCGATTAACGATCGATCGGTCGAATCGCGCGTGACCGTGTTCCGGTATTAAGGTGCGCCAATGGGATTCGTTTGGTTCGATGAATTACGATGACTCCGCCACGTGGCGATTAATAATCGAAAAGGCGTGTGCACGTTTTCAGTCTCTGTTTCATATTCGGATATTACTGGTGTATTGTTTGTAGTATTAGCTATGTGTGTGTGTGGGTATGGTGTTCAAGACGTCGAGTGCTCTGTGGGAGGCGATGGCCGGCCTCTAGGAGAGCGCTTAATTGAATCGCTTGTAATTCTTTGGGAATGTTTGATGACCCTTCTGATTCGATGGCATTTAAAGCGCTCCGTTTCAAGAGGTTAAAAGGCAATTCAATTTCTGACGTATCGGACAGTCGTTCTGTGAATTGTCATTCTTTCTCGAATGGTTGCCAATTTTTTCTGTGTTTCTTGGTAGTTGAGCGATGTGTTCACTGCTGCTCTAGGAAAGTCGCGATGATTTTTTGTTTATCTTAACGCGGAGGATTTGAATTAGTCACTCGAAGCTTGTTGAATAATTTATTAAATGTTAAAAATCCATCTGTATGGTGATGAGATCTCAGTCGTAACAATAAAAATAAAAAAAACACTTGGAGAACATTTTTATGGAAATCAGTTAAATGATTTAATTGCTGAAAATAGAAAGCAACGGATGACATTGTCGAATACGATATTTCACTTCTTCATTTACCACGTGATTTAAAAAATGGAAGAAATATCACAAGCCTCACGCCACGATCAAATATATCAGAATTTTTCCCAGAACAGTCGGCATACGAAGATAAATCCCACAATTTTCCCTCTCGAATATTTCCCACCGCGAAATTACACACGCGGCGGTGGCGCACGGAGGTGAGATAAAAAAGTCCGAAAAACCTCTTAAATCACCAAGTCAAATTTCCGATCGATCGCGGGTATTCGAGCGACGAGGGGCGTCACCGCCACCTTTTCGTCGCTCCACCGGCAAAAAGGGGAGTGTAAAAGCCGCCGGCACGGAAGAAAAATTGTGCCTCCATTAGCCACCGCCGCGTCGATTAAGCTGAAGGTGAGCTGTTCGCAGACTCGCGCGCAAAATCCAAGGGGTGACCGAACTGTATAACGCGTGGGTGTTCCACTCGTATGAGTCACGTGTTTCCAAATAATCGGGGAGAGAGAGAGTCACC